AGCTCCTGGTTAGATATAATTGAGGAGTAAAGGACAAATATTTGAGAAATGTCATTGTGGGTTATGAACTATTTCCTCTTTGGTGTTCTTTGAAAGCACAAATAAATTTTAAAATTACTTTTTGGCCTCTGGATAGTGCTTCTTTGTATACCATTTATGCAGAGATTAGCCAAATGGGGCCACTAGGTTTGTTAAGGTTTCAAATAAATGAATATACTACTGTTTCATGGAGAGGTTAAGTATGTTACCTGAATTTAACCAGTTGGGGAAATAACGAAACTGTCAGGAACCTAGGGCCATCTGATTCTGATGAAGCCCATGCTTTTCATGGGCAATACAGACTATATCTTTCCTCAATAGATTAGAAGGCTGCCTTGCCTTGACTTCTCAAAAAAAGAGGAGAATTTCTACTCTGAACCTAACTTTGACTAAGGCTGAGAAATTAGTTGGTAAAATGGGAATGTGGTAGAAATGCCAGGAAAAGGCCATCCTGTTATCTTGGAGTCAGGTAGTCAGACTTATATCACAGACTTTAACCCAAATCATAAGACCATATATTTGAAAAGCTAATAGAAATATGCTTTTCCCTAAAAAGAAAATAGAGCACAAAAGGTCTAATGATAAATAAAGGGATTCAGAAAGACCTCACTGCAGAAGTACCATCTGGGGGCACCTGGGTGGCTCAGTGGGTTAAGCCTCTGCCTTTGGCTCAGGTCATGATCCCAGGGTGCTGGGATCGAGCCCCACATCTGGCTTTCTGCTCAGCAGGGAGCCTGCTTCTCCCTCTCTGTCTGCCTACCCCTCTGCCTACTTGTGATCTCTTTCTCACCCTCTCTCTCTCTGTGTCAAGTAAATAAATAAAATCTTAAAAAAAAAAAAAAAAGAAGTACCATCTGAATTGAGTTTTTCAAGTTGGGGTAGGGTTTGAACATATAGTGAGAGAGGAGAAGGAACAACATGAACAAAGTTTCAAAGGTGTGGCAATTTAAAGCTTATATATTAATTTGGCTGGACTCTATGGTACACAAAAGGGGATGATGGGAGATAGACTAGAGTTTGAAAACTGGCTAAGGAATACAGACTTCAAAGTATAATCAATAGTAAGCCACAGAATATCTTTAAGCTGAACAGTGGCAGGGACAGTGCTGTGTTTCAAGAAGATTAATTTGGTGGCAGTATATAAAATGGACTGGGAAGGGAAACACTAAAGGCACTGAGACAAGAGATTGTTGCAACATTACAGGGAAGAGATAAACAGATTCCAAACCAGGATAGTGATGATAAGAATGGAGAGGAGAGACACATGCAGCAGATACTATGGGGAGAGAAGAGGCAAGGCTTACGTTGCTGGGTATTGGCACTTCCAAAAAACATGTGGCAGTCAGGGGGAGTGTTTCAAGAAGATTAACGTGGTCTAATAAACAGGGCAAATTAGAGGAGGGAGAGACTGGAGGTAGGGAAACTAGTTAGGAGTTTACACAAGTTTACAGCCTTGGTGAGAATAAACAGTGGGAACAGGAAGGAAAAGACAGTTATAACTCATCTTACAAGAAGAAAACTGATATGACTTAGTGATGAAGTGTGTGTAAAGGAAAAGAAGCCTACAGGTCATGAGGTTTCAAGCCTGGGTGAGCAGACAGGGGCGGTGCTGCTATTAACAGAAAGACAGAAGTTAGAATGAGAAGTTAGCTGGAAGGGAAATGTCACAGTAAGAAACAGAAGATGAGAGTTACACAGGGAGCTGAGGACATCAGATTTTAAAAGAACATATGAAAAAGGTGTAAGAAAGACTAGAAAACCAAGGAGTTAGTGAAGGGCTGAAAACTTGTAATATAGGATCAGAGAGGTTCAAACTCTAAATAAGGTCTGGTCACAGAGTAGGTACTGGAAAAAGATTTATTGTTGAATGCATCAGAAGAGGCTTGTGGGGAATTCTCCCCTCTATAAGTAGGTTCAAATTCTGACTTGGCCACTTTGGTAGCTATGTGACTTTTCCTAAGTCACTTGATCTCCATAGACTTCAGTCTTCTACATGTGTAAAAATGGGGACAACCATCCCTATCACACAGAATTAATGTGAGGATTGAGTGAGATAAATTATGCAAAACACTTGGTTAAGTGACTAGCCCCTAGTAAGTACTCCAAAAAAAAAAGGTAATCTATTAGTGATGGGTCAACCACACACTTGTGAATTTCCACGATAGAGGAGTGATAAGTAAGAGTCTCTCTGGCCTGTAGAATGGTACCTGGCATATAGTGCTCAATAAATATTTGTTGAAGGAATAAATGAATAAATAAATAAACAAATAAACATTAGATCCTCAAATGCCAAATTCAGAGGCAGGAAGAGTCTGATTTACATATGTAAAGCCATTTTTTATTTATATATGTAAAGCATATTTATATATTTAAGCCAGGAGGGACTAAACTATTCCTTCCCATCCTTATTATTATTATTATTGTTATCTTAGATTTTATTTATTTATTTGACAGAGAGATAGAGATTACAAGTAAGCAGATGGAGGGAGAGGGAGAAGCAGGTTCCCTGCTGAGCAAGGAGCCAAAGCGGGGCTCGATCCCACGACCCTGAGACCATGACCTGAGCCGAAGGCAGAGGCTTAACCCACTGAGCCACCCAGGCACCCCACGATCCTTATTTTTAATGGCTACATAATATTTCATTACTTGGCTGAATTATTGTTCCCATAACCCTTCCCTTACTTTGACTTAATCATTTCTCTATTTAGGACATTTAGGTTGTTTGAATTTTTTACTACTGTAAATAACATTGGGATAAGCACGCTGGTCTATATATCTCTGTTCCTTTTGCTGATTGTTTTCCTGTGCTACATACATTCCCAACAATTGAATTAAAGTTTTGAAGTAGCTATCTCTTTCCAGAAAATTTACACTCCTTCCAGCAGTGTACTGAAATGCAAATGCATGTTTAAAATGTCATGTACTGTAAGAATGTAGGGCAGCCACTTGAGGGAAATTCCTCTCGAGTGATGCAGCATCTCTGAGACCCTGAGGAATGGGGTGGAGTAAAGAGTCAACTGAGCTGTTGGGCTCTGATGGTCAGGATGTATCTGTTGTCTCCGCTCTGCCGAGGCAGGGGGTGCGTGTTCTTCAGATAGGAAACAGGAACTCTGTGGGTGGGCCTAAAAGGGAGTGTGGGCTTTGAAACAGGAAAAAAGAAGCCTGCTTCTGATAGTGAAAGAGACACATTGCTGTGCTGGTCTAATCATCTATATGCTACCAGGTCAAACTGTTCCTCTATTTCCACTCACAGTTAGACCTGTCCTTGATTATATTTGCAGTTGTTTTATTTTGCTTTCTAAGTGTTTCATGCTCTTTTCTAAGTGTTTCTAAGCTCTTTCATGTTTTTCCATTTCAGGAAGTGGGCATCCACTAAGATAATCAAATCAGAAACCAAGCAGTTATTTGATACCTTCCTCTTCCTCACTCCCTACATCCAATCCTTCACCAAGTTCTGACACTCTCTCTAAAATATGTCTTTTTAAAAATGATTTTATTCATTTATTTGACAGAATGAGAGAGAGAGCATAGGAACAGTGGGGAGCAGAGGGGGAGGAGCAAGAGGGGGAGGGAGTGGGAGGTGGAAAGAATTTCAAGAAGACTGCCCACTGAGCAGGGAGCCCGATGCAGGACTCCATGTGGGGCTCATCTCACAACCCTGAGATCACAAACTGAGCTGACGCCAAGGGTCCAATGCTTAACCAACCGAACCACCCAGGCGCCCCTAAGATATTTCTTTAATTGGTTTACTTTTGACTTCCAGCATTCTAGTCCAAGCCACCATCATCTCTTGCCCAGAATACAGCAATGCTCTCCCACCTCATTTTCTTGTTCCCATTCTTGCTTCTGCCAGTTCATTTCCAACGCTTGGTGTAAGTAATCTTTTAAATACTCAAATCATCTCTCATGATTTCTTTCTGTACTTAAAGTACAAGGTCCTGAACTTGACCTACAAAGCTTTGCATGATTTGATCCCTGCTCACTTCTCCAGCCCACCTTTTGGCTCTCTCTCCCTCGATTTCTTTATTTCAGTCACAATGGCCTTTCCATTCTTGATTCTTCTCTCTTTCCAGCCTTGGGGTCTTCACACATGCCTTTCCCAGGCATTCTCTTTCTGCCACCCTTCACTTGGTTAATTCCTATTCCCATAAACTGGTGGGTCTCAGTTTAAATGTTCCTTTCACAGAGAGGCTTTCTGGCAGCAGCCTTTTCTTTTCCTTCATAAACTTCTCACGATTAAGTATTTATATTTATAAATTATATTTTATAATTATTTAATTTATATTTATAAAATTCTGAATTATAATTATATATTCTATGCTTATTATATATATACAAATATATATATAAAATTCTGTTTCTTTTATTACAGAGTAAGTTTCTTGAGGCCATGGATAATGTCTATCATGTTACCACTGAATATCTACAGTTTAGCAAGATGTCTGGCACAGTCTAGGTGTTCTTCATTTAAATAAACCATAATGTCTAGCCCAGTGTTAGAGAAGTCTTAAAATATAGTTACGTATGGAAAATACTGTTTTCACTTAAATGTACAAAATTAGGGATTTTCTTTTTTCTTAAGTTATTTTATTTTATTTATTTATTCATGAGAGACAGAGAGAGAGGCAGAGGGAGAAGCAGGCTCCCCAAGGAGCAGGAAGCCTGATGCGGGACTCGATTCCTGGACCCTGGGATCATGACCTGAGCCAAAGGCAGATGCTTAACCATCTGAGCCACCCAGGCGTCCAAAATTAGGGATTTTCAAGCTTAGTGTCGTATAACTGAGCTCGGGAAGTATTCTCTATTGCATGAAACCAACAAAGGCAAGTAATATTTAATCTGTGTTTCAGAATATCTCCAGTTTTTTCCTGTCCTCTTAAGAATTGGGACAGGTTTGGGATCAGGGCAGGATTAAGCTAGCTACTTTTCTGTGGTTGGTAACTTAACACTGTTCTTCTTCCTCATCTGGGGACATGAATACTCACCAGCAGGCTGTGACACAAGGCATGGAAGTGTTGCTGATTTGTCTCCAGCTCATTCCAGTCCAGCTGCCAACAACTTGTGGGTCTGAGGATGAAGGGCAGTCCATATGTCAATGACTCGCAGATCCCACTGGAATTTAGAGCCCTGGCAAGAGACAATGGCCGTGAAAGTCTCCTCAGTGATATGTACAACCTTGACACCAGATCAGCTTAAATTCAGCTTATATCTAAGACTCTACCGTGAAATCCCTTGGGTTAGGGCCTGTGAATTAATCAACTTAGCATGGCCAGCACCTAGCAAGGTATCTGGCACATAGCAGATTCTCAAAGCCTGTTAACCAATGAAGGAAGCACCATCATGAAAAGCAATCTGATGGATGTTTCTTCTCCTGAGCTTCTTTAATTCCAAGTGACCTTTCTGGGGATACCCCAGAACACCCCTGCTATAATAACCATGTAATATGATAGTATGCTAACCATCTGCACCCAGTCCTGGCTCTCTTGTGACAAGTGCTGAGAGAAGACGCATTTAAGAAGAGGGTAAGGGGGCACCTGGGTGGCTCAGTTGGTTAGTCGTCTGCCTTCAGCTCGGGTCATGATCCCAGGGTCTTGGGATGGAGCCCTGCGTCAGGCTCCCAGCTCAGTGGGAAAACTGGTTCTCCCTCTCCCTCTGTCTGCTGCTTTGCCTACTTGTGCTCTCTCTCTCTTTCTGTCAAATAAATAAATAAAATCTTAAAAAAAGAAAGGATGAATTGGGGTGCCTGGGTGGCTCAGTCAGTTAGGTGTTGACTCTTGATTTTGGCTCAGGTCATGAGCTCAGGGTCATGAGAATGAGCCCTGCATTGGACTCTGCACTGGGCATGGAGCCTGCTTAAGATTCATTCTCTACCTCTGTTTCCCTCCCCCCCGCCCCTTCCCCCTGTTTGCTCTGCTCTCTTAAAAAAAGAAAAGAAAGGAAAAGAAAAGAAATTTAAGAAAGTTCCCCAAGGGGGCACCTGGGTGGCTCAGTGGATTAAGCCTCTGCCTTCGGCTCAGGTCATGATCTCAGGGTCCTGGGATCGAGCCCCGCATCGGGCTCTCTGCTCAGCAGGGAGCCTGCTTCCTCCTCTCTCTGCCTGCCTCTCTGCCTACTTGTGATCTCTCTCTCTCTGTCAAATAAATTAAAAAAAAAAAAAAAAAGAAAGTTCCCCAAGAAGCATCTGCAGTCACACACTGGACAAGCTTACCTAGATACTTGAGCACAGACATGGTGATAGGAACTAGGAAGCAGTAAAAGTGGTCTTTGCCATCATTGCTAATTCTACCCAAGAACTAGTTCCTCTGGAAGCAGAAATTCTAGTACTTAGAGAAATGGCAAGGCAGGAGTAGATCCTATCTACCATCTTGTTCCTTGAAGGTCAGACCTCTGTCCTGATGCCTAAACACAGTAAGGTATTCAATATGCAGTTGCTGAATGGATAAACATGGCTGATCTTGTTTTTCTTGGTGCTCAGAGACTTTCTGGATTTGCAATCCTCATCCAGGCTTTAGAATATCCTACTGAGGCATATCTTCTACCATCTGGCCGTTAGTCTCCACATGCTGGGCAGCCTGAGCTTGCTCTTTCACTCCTATAACTATAGTTTCTGCTTTGGAACTGACTCCCACCTGGCTGACACTTGGAGATGCCCTCTACCTCTGAACTTCCTAGCTGGAACCAGTAAGAATAGGCATTTGCATGGATTGGGGAAGTTCTCTTGTCCCATACTTGATCACCCGGAGCTTGTAACGAGAGGCTGACGATTGGGAGGCCATCTGGTAGAGTGTGCTAAAGTCTCCTTTGGGGTCATCCATTCTCAAGGAGCCATCAGCTGTGCCAGGGAGCAGGGATGGGCTGAGGAGTCGTTCTTGGAGATCACATTTCAGGCACACTACAATAAAAATGGCATTGGGGGAGGGACAGTTTGTCACAAGTTACCTCAGGCTACATGATTAAGAGACAACATCTGCTACCCATTCCACATTCACCAGGCAAGTAAGGCTTGGGAGGAGGCAGGGGAGTAGAAATAGGAAAGTATGACTGGTTTGGAAAGGCAGAGCAGGTCTGGACCTACAGAATTGCTCAATACAATAGTTAACTAATTTTCTGTGTCTGATATGGTTTTTACTTCTTTTACTTCTGGCCTGGCTGAGCAGTTGCCTCATAGTGAGAGATCTGGCTTATGATCCAGTCTGAGAGGAACATGGGCTCTCTGTGGAGGAGGCAGCTAACACTATGATATGCAGAGGCCCTTTGCAATCACAGATGGAAATCTTGCTTCTGTTGCTTCCCTGTAACTAAGCTTTGGCAAGACTATAGGTCAGATGAAGGAAGAGCAGGAAAGCAGAAGTCAGGGAGTCAGGTGACAGCTACTGTTTCTCTGTGGGCTCTTCTAGGGACATTCAGGGGAGGGGGAGGAATAAGTTCCTGAAATGGTGTATTTTTTAATTCCCCAAAGAAACCTGAGAGTAGAACCTTCTGCAACCATTCTGAGGGGGCTTCACCTAGGTATGAATTATTCATCAAGGTATATTCGCATGCCACAGTGTATAATGTGCTATTGCTCTAAGCTTGTAGCCCTGATACTACAAAGTTGTTCAATAAAATGTATACAGGTTTGAATACTGTTAACAAACATGATGTAAAAGCAGAAGTAGAAATAATGTAGAAAAGGAGATAGGATGGCAGAATAGAGGTCAGATCCAGCTGGCCTCCTGGGCCCAGCAGTTAAACGTAGACATTAATTCTGGGTAAGACAGTTTTGGCTTGCTGTGTCTCAGAGCCCAGGAAGTCAGTAGGAGGGGCTTGGTCTTGGACTCCCCTCATTTCTTCTGCGCCTGACTTCTCCATTGTTAGATATCTGGGCTTTAGGACTGGACAGCTGTGTTCACCTGGCTGAGATTCTCAACTCTGGTTGCCGTAAGAATCACCTTTTCATTAAGGAACTTTTATTTAAAAAAAAAAAAGACTTTATTTATTTATTTGACAGAGATCACAAGTAGGCAGAGAGGCAGGCAGAGAGGGGGTGGGAGAAGCAGGCTCCCTGCTGGGCAGAGAGCCCGATGTGGGGCTCGATCCCAGGACCCTGGGATCATGACCTGAGCTGAAGGCAGAGGCTTAATCCACTGAGCCACCCAGGCATCCCACATTAACAAACTTTTAAAAGATACTGATGTCTGGGCTCTAACTCATACTAGTGAAATCAGGATCTCTGGAGATGGAATCCAGATACTGGTATTTTTAAAAAGTCCCTCATGTGATTCTTACTGCAGCCAGGGCTGAGAACTTCTAGCACCATAGTCTCAACAGTGTTCCGAAGCTGGGAAAGCTGTCTTAGCAGAACTAGAGTCTAGAATCAGGTGTGCTTCTCACCACGCTGAACCCAGATGCAGAGGTGACAGACTCCAGATCCACAAAACGAGAAAAGATACTCATCTGAAGCTAACTGTGCACTCTGCCAGAAGGAGACCTCTGAGGGAAGCACCTAGAGAGTGGAGTGAAGGGCCCTGAGCAGCTATAGAAGGTGGAGTGGATAGAGAACCTTGTAAGGAGTCAGAGTGAACATCTGAAGAGCAGTCCTCAAACCATTCTAGAGTAGGAGAGCTCAGTGTTCTGTATTGTTCTGTTTCATTTTTGATAGTGAGCCACATTTCCAGAAATCTAGTGTGGTAATGAGTCAGTTTCTCTTTTTTGAACAGTGGATAACTATAGTATGGTCTTTATTGTACTTGTATAAACTCTCAGGTGGGTCACACCCTCCCTGGAGGAGGGCTACTTTCCCCAGACCTCACTCCAATTGTGCCTGAGCATCTGGATTCCAGTGTTGGCCTCCCTAATAGAAGAGCTGATGAATCTGGATCTAAGTTCCAACATGCACCTAGAAGACCTGCAAATTACTGAAAAATGACTGCAGATGGAGATAAACATTCTGGCTCTGACCCTGGTGCTGAAAGCCATGGAAAGAGGGAGGAAAAAGGTAGAAAAATTCTCCACTATATCATGGGAAAGTGCTGTGCAACAGTTAAAGAAAGGCTGGTTGCTGGAGTTCCTGGCCTTGGAGGGCCCCAGCCCTTCTAATGAAAGAAGTGCCCAGGATGAGGCAGGATCTTTGCTCAGAACTGCCCAGCATGAAACAGGTTTTGTAGTAGGTAAGTGTCCAGGTTCTGGAGACAGACCTGGTTTTTGGGCTGAGAGTAATCAAAATGTACAAAAAATAAACTTCTAATCTTAAGCATTAAGAGTGGGTTCTGGAGTTGCCTAACTTCGAATTCTGTTGTTAATTTTTCTGTGCTGTCTTGGGAAAATGTCTAATTTCTCTAAGTCTCAGTTTTCTCATCTGTAAAACAGGGAGATAATATTGGTATTTAATTGACTCGAAGACACATTTTTCTCCCCACATACTAACATCTCACTATATATCTTACAATTGCCATTGGCCAGACACACACTCCAAACACTTACTACTTTAACTTCTCAGTAAGGATAAAATAATATTTCTAAGGGAAAGAAAGCATTGTGTCATGTTTAATTGGCAGTGTTTTTCTTTCTTAGTGGTACATAAAGCAATGGTGTACCTCATAACTGATAACATCTGAGATTCAATGACATATGGTAACAGTACCTGCTTCATGGCAGTGGGTGAAGATGAAATGGGATAATGCAGAAAAGGAGATGACAGAGTGCTTGGGGAAAAACAGATATGAAGTAGATTCCAGAAGATGGGACATGGAGGAATTGGCACCATCAGCCTTGGACAAAAGAGTGGAAAGGAGGTCCAGGGAAGATTTACACACCAAGGAAAGACACATTGAAATTAAGGTAAGTCATCAAATGCATCCCAGGCCCTTGGTTGAAATGGGAGCATGGGAAGGGGTGGGCGGGTAAAGATCTGATGGCTATCCCCAGAAAGAAAGGGCCACCGATGTGTCTTCCCCTTTGGGGGTAGGAGTCTATACCTATATTTCTCATTAAACTCCTGCCTCTATTAGTTGGGCTACTAGTTATCCTCTGTGGGGCCTGCCTCTTTAGTTGCTTTACTTTACCTCAGTTTGGTGTCTTCCTATCCAGAAGACCTCTATTTAATCTTGGTTTAATCTCAGTTCCTTACCTTCTCATAGGCCCTGTTGATAATTGTTGAGGTACCAGCATGCCTCAAGTTATTAAGTCAATAATATCTACTATAATTCAAAATGAATTATTTGAGGAAAATATATGGTTCATTGTGCTCTTATTTGGTTTATGTGCTGCCCTATAATTGAGGTATCTAAGTCTTTGCTCCTAAACTAACTGGCCCTTGCTGTCTCGGCTTAATTAGGTTCAGTTTTTCTAACTGTGGTTACTTTTTAGAAATTATTTTCCTACTCCTTGTGCTTACACTACATAGCCTCCTCAAGTCCCTAAACCTCAACTACTGTGTATCCTGACAACTCACAAATCTAGGGTCTTAATCTGAGAATAGGATAATCATAGGCTATATATTATGTCTTTTGGGGGTGTGTACTTGAATCATCTCTGGCTTTGGAAATGTTGCTGAAACACCGTGAAGGAAGAAGAAGATGGATATGTTCTTGGTCTGTTCCACTGTTATGTAACCAGGCTTTGAAGAAAATCTCCATGCTGACAACATCGTTGTCTATAGTTTGAAGGTCAATGTCAGTTCCCAGGATAGAACTCTCTGCAGAAGAAAGGGAATTAGTGGGTAAAGTATTTAATTCTTTAATTGTAAACTTTGAAAAATGTAAACATTTAAATGCACCCATCTTTTGACCCACCAGTTCTACCCTCTAGATATCTAGCTTAGAGACATTCTTAATAGTACACATGGACACATATGCAAAGATGTTCAGTACAGCATTGTTGTAATAACAAATAATCAAAACCTTAAACAGGAAGCAATTCAAATACCCATCAATAGGGTAATGTTTAAGTAAATTACAGCACACTCAACCTTTGGACAATTACATAGCTGGGATAATTACATAGCTGTTAAACAAAGTAAAGTTAAGTGTACTGGCAGGGAAATCTAAGAGATGGTAAATAAATAAATAAGTTGTAGAACAGATGTGTGAACACTTTATATAAAAATAAAATAAAATAAATAAAAATCAAACCCTTGGCCTAAGTACATACATATGTATGTAAATGCCTTTTACAAAGATCTGGAAGGCTACCATCAAACTGTTAATGGTGGGCAGAAATGGAAACAGGGCAGAGTTCTGAAGTATGTTTCCCTTTTATTATTCATACTTCTATTCTGTTTTAATTTTATTGTATTTAAAAAACACTCTGGAATACAAAAACAGCCAAAAATAATACAGAAATGGAAGTTAAAGACTTAGTTAACAAGGGAGAGCTTCAGCTTCTTCAGTTCCTATTTATCTATTTATTTATTTAAAAAGATGTTATTTACTTATTTATTTGAGAGAGAGAGAGAGAGAGCGAGCGAGAGAGCACAAGTAAGGGGAGCAGCAAAGGGAGAGGGAGAAGCAGGCTCCTCGCTAAGCAGGGAGTCCAATGATGATGTGGGGCTTGATCCCAGGCCCCTGGGATCATGACCGAGGGAAAGGCAGACTCTTGAACAAAAGAGCTACACAGGCGCCGCTTCTTCACCTCTTATTTCACAGTAAAAATGTAGTCAATTACTACTTCTGCTATAAAAAACAAATTTTTTTAAAAAGTAAAAGAAAAAAAATAGTGTACTCCCGGGCTTCACCTCAGACACAGATGACACAAGTCTGTCATTGGCAGGCGTAACTCACAAGTGTGATTAGCAGCCGGGAAGACAGAAATGTTGTAGTAGAGTGTGATTTGATTCCAAATCTGAGTGAATGGAACTAGGTATGTTGGGTGATGAGGCTTTGCTGGTCTACTTCCTGTTTTAGGCAACACTTGCTGAGGAACTGGGTCTGGGTCTACAGGTAAAGGTTATCAGTAAAAGCCAAATATAAGGTAGTAGAGGAAGCACAGAGAGAGGAAATGAGGCAAGAGCTGGAAAGAAACCGAAGAGGAACCTGATTTTTTTTTTTTCCTTACCATGAGGGACTCTCTGAAATACTTTCACAAAGAGCCTAAGAAAATTGATGAATTAACTTCTGTATATGACTCATAGACTCCAGGGAGAAGGCTGGTTTATTTCTAGAACGACATTCCTGAGGACAAGGAGGCAGAGGTGGCAGACTCTCCACAGGGAACAAAGGGCTTCAGTCCAGCGTGTTGGTACCCACACAGGGGAGGTGTGGTGAGACTCAGATGACTTCATGTCATATTAATGACTTATTCTGTGGCTGAAAAGGGGCACCAAATGCATTTCTCTTTGACCAGTATGATTAAAACTCTGCCATCTTCCATGAACAGTTCTGAGGATTCATTAACCAAGTATTTCATTCATTCCATCAAGCAGTAATTTTTATTATGTACTATATAAAAGATGAAATATTGTACAGGGTACAAAGATTATACATAAAGGAGTTTGTAAAGCTACACCTTTTTTTTTTTTTTGGAGATTTTACTTATTTATTTGACAGACAGAGATCACAAGTAGGCAGAGAGGCAGGCAGAGAGAGAGAGGGAAGCAGGCTCCCTGCAGTGCAGAGAGCTCGATGTGGGGCTCGATCCCAGGACTCTGGGATCATGACCTGAACTGAAGGCAGAGGCTTTAACCCACTGAGCCACCCAGGTGCCACAAAAGAAAGTATCTTTTTAATAATGTGAATTTTATTCTGTCATAGGCAAAAATGAGAAGTAATTTAATTTTACTGAGCCTGAGGCATGGACTTCAATTTGAGTAACAAGTACAGAAAGAACTGAACCCAAAACTTCAGTGAGGCAAAAATCACTATTAAAGCATTAAAAGGCAGATACAAGACGAAAGAAATGGAATTGAGTGAAGGATCTCTGAAAGTAGAGAGGATAAGAGAGAGAGGGGGAATACAAGCAGGGGGTGTGGGAGGAGAAACAGGCTTCCCGCCTAGTGGGGAGCCCGAAGTGGGGCTCCATCCCAGGACCCTGAGTGGAAGGTAGACGCTTAAAGACTGAGCCACCCGGGCACTCCATACCAGTTAATTTCTAAAATGTGGTTTCCTCAGTTCTCTCCTTTACTAAAGAGCACACACTGCCTTCCTTGATTATTTTATTTCCCTCACTCGCCCTGTACCACTTGGTTCTACTCATTATTCATCAAATACCCCACTCTTCCCTTCTGTGATGGCTCATATGATTCTTTCCCACCCTTGCCTGTTGAGATCTTACATGCCCATTCATCCCGAATCCCCTAGCTCAGTAGCTAGCTTAGAGCTGAAGCCTAGCAAATGCCTGTTGAGCTCAACATTTGCTCCCCTTCCTCAGCTCTCATTACCTTTTCCTGTAACTCTTCTGCTTCAACTAAATTAGTCTCCTTGCCACATGACTTCCTTCCTTCCTTAGTGCTTTTATTATTCTGTCAATCCATGGCTTGCTCCTCCCCCAAAACTCAACTACAAACTGACTCTGTCCCGAAAGTTATGCTTAATTATATCCTCCCTTATTTGGGTTTAATCATCAGCTCCTGGGTATAGGTGGGCTTCATTTAGGCAATACTAATTACTCTTGCTAATCTGTTTCTTCAGAAGGGTTTTCTTCTCTTTCTGGGAGTTTATGAAAAGTGGTGGGATGTGATGGAGAGAGGAGGGTTTGAATTGCCACTTGGAATAGTTATATGACTTTGGACAAAGTGGGGATATTACAACCTATTTCATAGTTACAGTGAGGCATAAGAAGTGAGATGATTATCTATGAATGGCATGCCTAGGTCAAACAAATGGAATTTTCTTCTTTTTCTCTCATCAACAAAATGATTTACTCTTACAGGATAAGAATGTGCTTTCCTTTTTTATAAGCTCTCCCCCCATCACTTCCCTTGGCGACTGCTTTCTCCTCACCACTAACATATATAAGAACACCAAAGGCAGAGAACTGTGTTCCTCACAAATACAATGAAATGTGCTAAACCAGGCACCTGGGTAGCTCAGTTGGTTAAGCGTCTGCCCTCTGCTCAGGTCATGATCACAGGGTCGTGGGATCTAGTCCCACATCTGGTTCCTGCTCAGTGGGGAGTCTGCTTCTCCCTCTGACTCCCTCCCCCATTTGTGCTCTCTCAAAAATAAATCTTAAAAAAAAAAAAAAAGGAATGTACTAAACCTGGGAAATGGGGAAGAGACTTGTCACTTCTCAGAGATTGAAGAGCAGCTCCCACTTTGACTGGCGAGCAGGAATGAGCTAGTTCCACTCACAGTATGAAACAGGAAGGTTATGGGAGTGAGTGTGGCTGGGAGTGTTTGGGTGGTGAGGACGAGGAAGGACGGGTTCACTGCCGCAAGGCTGCAAACAGCATTCACATTCAGTGTTTGGATCTGCCCTGCCCTCCTGTGGCCACAAGTAGTGATACCTTTTACTGAGCTCTTGCAGAAAGGCCACAATAATAGGAAAAATTAAGAGAGCCAAATGATTGAAAATAAGGCAATGCCTAAAGCAGTCCTTCTCAGAATTCAACCCTGCAAAAAGGTTACAGGGAGAATGTAACACTTTAATACACAAACAGACGTAGAATATCTAAAGTAGAGACCTAGGAAAATTGTGCTCCAGCTCAATCCTATAGATCCTCCCCTGTCCTACAAAGGCCTGGACCTATAGGCCAGACCTGTTCCTATAGGTCCAGGTTCCTTTCCTGGACCTATAGGCCAGACCTAGAGTGGGCTTTAGGGGTTCTGGAAACCCCCTTAAATTGTATATAACTTCACCTGTACATGTATAGTTGTATTCTAATAGGGTGGAAGAGGGGGACAGGTCCTTAGCTTTCATCAGATCCTTGAGAGTGTTGTGAGTCCAGAAAAGGTCAAGAGCCACTGCAAAACCTGTGGGACTATGATAGCTCAGCCTCTCTGGGCCAGTTTGCAATCTTTGCTGTCTAGCTTCTGAATATAGGAGTAGTACAGGATGTTAATAACTAGGATAAGTAATCAGAGTTGACAAAGTTTGCTCAGGAACAACTGTGCAGAGTCATTTAACCACTGTCTTTAAATCAACAATGGCATGAAGATAAGTTCTAATAGCTCCCATTGTTGGGAGCAGCCTGGCTTGTCTCTGAGCTCATGTGCCTCATTTATGGAAGTGATGCTTGGACCCTGGGAAAAAGGAGAAGCTCCTTGAAAGGAGGTAGCAGGGTAGTGGTGATTATGTGATGCAGACTCTCTAGAGAAGTTAGTGCAGGACTGACCAAGTGGTGACCATCTTCCTAGGGTTCCAGTCTACAAGACAGCAAAACTAGAAGTGTAATGAGAATAGAGAGACTTTATTTCCCAGAACTATTCTCAGGGAGAGAAGAGATGTCATTCATTCATTCATCCTTTCATTCAGTTCATTTGTCTTTCAAATAATTATTTATTTAATGCCTTCTATGATCCAGGCACACTGATTGTGTCAACAATGAAAGAGACAAATTATCTGCTTTTGTGGGTTACATTCTAGTGGGAGAACAAAGAATAAACAAACAATAGAAACAAAAAACAATTACAGATAATGGTAGGTATGATGAAGAAAAATAAAACACAGTAAGAGTATGGCGTGTATGTGTGTGTGTGTTTGTGTGTGTGTGAGAGACAGACAGAGAGAGAGAGAAAGTTTTCTCTTCAGGAAGTATAT